GAGGGGCACTCAGGGCTCCTGCCACTAGAAGCGGGGCCTTGTGCAGGGGGGGGCCGGGGTTGCAGGGCTAGCCTCCCGGAAAGGGGGTCCAGCCCATGGGGGATGGAGTCACTGGGGGGAGCAGCAGCCGCTGGAGATTTCAGTCTGAGGGAGGGGGGATCCCTGGCTCCAGGGGAAGCTGCGGAGCAGGGAGCCTTTCCCAGGGGGATACTGCCCATCTCCGGGGACACACAGAGCTTTTGGGGCCTAGGGGCTGCTCAGCCGGCCCCTCCCCACTCCCCTGGATGCCCAGCACTCAATGGGGAGCTGTGCTGGGTGGGGGCCGGTGGCTGGGTCGCTGTGTCGGCCCCTCCCCGCCCAGGGTATGCGTCTCACGGCCTGTCTCCTTCTGCTCCCAGATCCCTCTCTGTCCAAGCCCATCATCAGCCCCAGCGGGGAGGTCTCCCTGGGTGGAGCTGTGTCCATCTGGTGTTGGGGGAAGGGCCAGGGCGTGCGGATCGTGCTGAATAAAGGGGGACGCCATGTTGCACACGTGGATACGGAGAAGTCGGTGTTTGAGTTTCCCATCAAAAACGTGCGCCGGGAGCAGAGCGGGAACTATAGCTGCTCCCATCACAGCAGGTCGGAGCCGTTCGTCAGGTGGAGCGACTCCGTGGAGCTGGTGGTGAGAGGTGAGGGGCCCGTCTCGGCGTCCCAGTTCCCAGCTCCACCCCCAGCCAGACCCTCACGGGGGCTTGGTGCCAATGGGACACTCAGAGCCAGGCTCTTCCCTGAGCACTGACCCTGCAGAGGGGACGCCCGGCTGGGGAGCGGGGATGGAGTCACTGGGGGTTCCCCAGCCAGGAGGGAGCAGCAGCCCTGGAAGCTACTTTAACGCTGTCCCCAGTTTGTATGAACTGTGCGTCGCTATTTAATCCCGTGATCCCATCCCCTCTGTTCGCCAGGCCCTGCCCCAGGCCGGGGCTGAATGAGGCAGGGGCTGCAGGAGAAGCGGTGGCTTGGTGGACACAGCACAGGGCTGGGACCCAGGAGATCTGGCCCAGCTCCTGGCGCGGCCACAGACTCTGTGTGATGGGAACATGTCGCAGTTTTCAAAAGTGTCCTTCCTTGTGGGGGGGCCTCAATCTTGGGGATCTCAGGCCGAGTGCCCACAAACCGAGACGCCCACAGTTAGTGGAGACCTCTGCAAACGCTGGCCTCAATAGCGCTGGATCCCTTGTGTTGGGGGAGCATGTAGGGCCCCCGCCATAATCAGGGCTCTGTTGTGCCAGGCGCTGCATAAACACAGAGTGAAGAGACAGTCCCTTCCCCTGGGAGCTCACTGAGGAAAGTGACTGTGTCTGTGCCTCAGTTTCCCACTATGTAGAATGGGAGGCTGACTCCCTTCTTGTGTGCGGCTCGGGGCCTGTGGTACTGGGCGGTGCCGGGCACCAGAGACCAGCCCGTGAGTCGCTCTGTGCTCGGGGGGCTGGATGCAGTGAATGAGGCAGGGGCCATATGTGGGCATATGAGGATCGCAAGAACTAGGGATGTTCCTCCTCTAAAATAGGGACAACTGCGCCCAGACCTGCTCTGCAGTGACTCCAGGTGTGAATGGCACCTGGCTGGGGCAGGGACCATCTCTTGGCCTTCCTCTGTTACAGGAAAACCCAAGGAAGTGAGTACCCCACCCAGCGAGGGATGGGTTAAGGCCGCCGCTAAGCCGAGCTGTAAAGGGGTCATAGCTTGGATGGGAGACAGGGAAGGAAACCCAGGTGCTGGGGCAGAGTCCCAGCAGGGGGCACACTCCCCTGGCAGTGAGATCTGGTCCCAAAGCCCCTGGGCAGCACTAGGGGGCGCTGTGCTGCAGGGGGTGGGGCAGGGGGCTCTGTAGGAGCCACTGGGCTGCCGGGGGCAGGAACCTGTCTCTAGGGTATCCAGGCTCAGCAGCTGGAGGGGGCGGGGCTCCCCCTGGCAGAGCGTGGGGGGCAGGGATTCTGTCCTGGCCCCGCCCCATCCCAGCTGCCCTGTAGGGCAGAGGGGCAGGGCTGATACATGGGGATCAGGGTCGACTCATGGACAAATCTGCTTCATGTCTTTGCAGGGTAAGGACCAGCGCTGAGACAGAGCAGATGAGACCCCAGCTCTGCTTCCCACCCCAATCTACCTGCCCTAGGATTCAGGACTCCGGGGTTCTCTCCCCGGCTCGGGATGGGAAGTGGTGTCCAGTGGTTACACCAGGGGGGCGAGGAGGTTTTAATGTTGTACTTTTTAGTTATTTTCCTAATGATAGGTTGATTCTCATTAGTTGATAACCATTAAAAATGTTGATTTGCAACTAAATATAGTCTTTATAAATCTGGTGCTTTTTCTTTTGCTAACCATGATGGCCAACTGTATCTATCCACATTGATTGAA